TCCTCATCATCATTACGTATCAGCTGAACATGAGAAACGCACCTCAACTTTTGTGCCACGATATAAAAGTAAGATACTTACTACTATAAACTACAAAAAGCAGGTAAGATGCTGCTTCGTAACCTACTATGCTTCAAGACAGATCGGGTTATAGGGGAAAAATATGTCGGATGAGGAGGGACCAAGAAACGAACAACGCAAACGCAATTGGGGTCGGCTCCTTGCCAAATCAACAAATGTATCCAACCAGACATGCTGATCGCCCTTAGAACCTCAGCCCGGCAGTCGAGAGACACCAACCGACGCCAAGTTCGAAGTGAAGGCCTTCATTCTTCTTGGCGGAGTCATCGCTTGTCCTCCCCTCATCGGTCCAGCCAGTCTTGTATGTCGTTAAACTTGTGTAATCACTGCCGCTTATCACGTCCCGTCAAATAACCAGTTAGATCACATAATGACCGTATGTGTCAGTGCACCACGGATGAAAACATCCAAACCCAGATATCTCTTAAGGCCATCTCCACATGTGTGCATTTCGGTCATTCTTACACCGGTTTATCGTCGCCATTTGTTCTCTCGCCCGTGTAATTTCTTCGTTGAGTCGTCTGATTCCATCGTGACTCACCGCTAGTACATTCGCATTATTTTTACACGAATCACACCGATTCCGGCTGTTAGTTGCATTCCTTGAGATCTGTGTAAAGCCATTACAGTGAAGTACCGGTCGGGCAATGTCGGTTCAGTGACATCGTTTGGTCTACTGGCTTGCATCGCCCCCTCTTTAACCCCGGTTTATTTCCCCCGCTGTCAAGACGATACACCAGTTTCTTTGCTTTGCATTTGAAACTTTTGTATTTTCCCTTGAGTAGCGGTCTTTGGATGTTTCGGGGCGCACAATCAGCTTTCGACCATTCCCTCTCATCTCCTAGACCGGGTCAGCTATCACATCTCATTCAAGGTCGCCTTTCTCCTTAACTCATGTTGATCTTTTCGGGTTCCAATCTCCCGGCACTATCCTAACCCGCGCACAACCTTGTGTGCAGCGAATCACCGGTACGATGTACCGATTTGCCACTGCGGCTATTGTTGATCGAACAGTGTATTCTTTTTTTGATCTCTTGGACACATTTGTCTCATCATTTTTCCACATCACCCCTTCTTTCTTTTAACTTCGCAGATGTGGGGCATCATTGCTATGGTTGGCGTTGCTCTCATTGTGGTAGTGATTGGTGAGTTGATTTGATTTGCTTTCCTTGGTCCTACTAGTTCCACGGATAGCTATTCCCTCCGCTTGTTCTCCAGTCGCTTCAAATCGAGCTAGATACTTGCTGCCCATATGGTCACCTGATGCTCCCACGATAGCCATCTGTTTGTGGTCTGCGTGCTGTAGACACCTTGGCCCTGATGTTTGCTGAGAACACTTGTTTGTTTTTGTACATTGTATTCCTTTTCCCTTTCCTATTCCTTCTCATTAAGCTCGTTATGCTATATGGCAGCGGTCACTGCATACTACCGACGTTTTGCTGTTGGTGATGTTTGCATTGACTAGGAGAATAAACCCGTAGGAATCGGTTTACCTATACTTGCGGGATTTCTATCGGGCTTGCTAGAGACTGCCTGGCGTTAATGGGTTCAATGTTTGGGGTGAACTTATGGAAACTGCGTTCATTAGACACGATTTAGAAGATGTGGATCTGCTCCCAGCTGACCGATTTTTTCCGGACGATACTGCCTAGAAACGTACTAAGCAGCACTGGACAGCTTACCACTGAATCTTAATCGTTTCTGGCTATGTTCCACACTCTCCAACTGCAAGACTTTCACATACGATTGCTAGGTGCAATCCTTTGCGTTGACCCTTAGTTGGTGTTAACTGGAAGTCGTTCAGAGATCTAACTACTTGGGTAGCTACATCATCGTCTGTGAAATCGAGGATGGAACGACAAACCGTATATCAAAAACAATTTGATTTTGCTCAACTTCGCCACTTTTGGCACCGGGGCGACATCATCCTTGCGTCTGAAGCGGTCCACAATGCAACCATCCGCTCAGCCCTCCCGTACGTTTGTGAGACATGATCCATCATATCGTCAGATGTAGAGTCTAGTTGCATTCGATCACTGGTGTCTGTACAATTTAGCTCATACCTGATGAGGACACTGAGAATCTAGCGTGATTGGCGCCTTGTTTATGGCGCAAGAAAAGTAAGTAAACCGCTCAGCACCGTCACTTCACGCAGTAAGATCAGATGGCGGAAATATTTGTTACGCATGTCGGACCACCGACAGCTTTGAGGTGCATAGTTTACGCTTTCGAGATCTGGAGGCGATGTCTTGGTCAAGAGTGATGAAGTCGCTCACTTCGAAGCTTGCTTCGGTTAGGGTTTCCCGGCTCCTTGTTGCCATCTGGTTGGCAACACCTGTTGACATAATGTTTGCGTTTTGAGTTTATCTATCCCTTTCCATCTCTATTAGCTCTTCCACAGGGAAAGTTCTACCAGGTGACACAGACCGATAAACTTTGCGTATTCGGACGATATAGCTCTCCTTTACTCTGAAGCAGTGGCTATGCAAACACTGCTGCATAGACTGGTGCGTAGCACTGCACGATTCGGTGTGCTTTACACCTTCAAATTGCAAGGTATTGTTTCAGGTCTTTACTGATGCGTCACCGGTTTTATCTATCACAGAACATCACTTGAAGTGGTGGATCGGTTCACGCACCTTGCTAGGTGTCCAACTTAATTTTCATTCAACCCCGATTAGTCTAACGTAGTACTTTCTCGATACGCTTCTCGTTGCATTCTACTCGCGTTCATTTTCTTGCCGTCGTCATCTATTGTTAATCTGGTGACTTGAGTCGACAACTGGATCCGCTGCACTTCGGTACCTGGATCATAGTTGTCTAAACTGTGTAACCGAACTGAACTCTCGGCATCCCTTCCAGCCCTGATCTTATCGCCGATGCATAATATAAAAAGCATATTCTTTTATTTTGCTTTGGTTGCTGTCGTTTTTTCTCTCATTTTTTGCCACATATAATTGAATTGGTTGACACACAACTGCTGATGTAAGATTCTCGCCTCTAGCTAACCTGTAACGCGCAATTCTGATGATGGTTTGGATCTTGTTCGGTGAATCCCCCTATATTCCTTTCCTAATTTGTTGTTGAAAACGCTTGTCCGGTTTAGCATTTTGTGTTTACCTTCCAGCTTTCAAATCTATCGTCTTGAACCATCGCTGCAACATCACCTTTTTGCGCGTAGGCTTTTGAAACATCCTCCCTTATTTCGCACTGATTCTATACATTACCACCGCTGTATATTGTCAAACTTAATCCCGCCCGTTTGCTCACACACTGCGTCTTGGGTAAGACTGGTGAGCTTGCTCTGCTGCGCCACTTGAGATGGGTCTGGCGAGTGTTTTCCTCGCCGCACCCTATTTGCACTCACAGTGCCGCATTGGAAGAAGTTACCTAGAGGCCAGCCGGCCACTTGGCGAGCAAGCACGAATTAACTGGCATCTTCCTAGCTATCGCTGGTCCCCGTACGTCTTCCCGGTTGGGACCTACAGATGAAGAACTCCAGTGGCTTAAAATACTTGAAGCAATGACGCAGAACCGTTGCACTGGGGATTATGCGCGTGTTTGCTTAAATTCTCGTATTAAATAGCATCAATTTCTTAAAATGTAAAAGGTACAACATGTGATGAGAAAAAATACTGTTATTCTTTGCTTCTCTACATTTTCGTTCCCCTCCCCATAAGTTTTGTACATCAAACTATTTTTTGATCCCAAATTTCATTATTTTGAACGGTTTGATGTCTATCCTTATAGACCGATGGCTATATATATATATAATATATATATATATATATATATATATATATATATATATATATATATATATATATATATATATATATATATATATATAGCCATCGGTCTATAAGGATAGACATCAAACCGTTCAAAATAATGAAATTTGGGATCAAAAAATAGTTTGATGTACAAAACTTATGGGGAGGGGAACGAAAATGTAGAGAAGCAAAGAATAACAGTATTTTTTCTCATCACATGTTGTACCTTTTACATTTTAAGAAATTGATGCTATTTAATACGAGAATTTAAGCAAACACGCGCATAATCCCCAGTGCAACGGTTTTGCGTCATTGCTTCAAGTATTTTAAGCCACTGGAGTTCTTCATCTGTAGGTCCCAACCGGGAAGACGTACGGGGACCAGCTATAGCTAGGAAGATGCCAGTTAATTCGTGCTTGCTCGCCAAGTGGCCGGCTGGCCTCTAGGTAACTTCTTCCAATGCGGCACTGTGAGTGCAAATAGGGTGCGGCGAGGAAAACACTCGCCAGACCCATCTCAAGTGGCGCAGCAGAGCAAGCTCACCAGTCTTACCCAAGACGCAGTGTGTGAGCAAACGGGCGGGATTAAGTTTGACAATATACAGCGGTGGTAATGTATAGAATCAGTGCGAAATAAGGGAGGATGTTTCAAAAGCCTACGCGCAAAAAGGTGATGTTGCAGCGATGGTTCAAGACGATAGATTTGAAAGCTGGAAGGTAAACACAAAATGCTAAACCGGACAAGCGTTTTCAACAACAAATTAGGAAAGGAATATAGGGGGATTCACCGAACAAGATCCAAACCATCATCAGAATTGCGCGTTACAGGTTAGCTAGAGGCGAGAATCTTACATCAGCAGTTGTGTGTCAACCAATTCAATTATATGTGGCAAAAAATGAGAGAAAAAAACGACAGCAACCAAAGCAAAACAAAAGAATATGCTTTTTATATTATGCATCGGCGATAAGATCAGGGCTGGAAGGGATGCCGAGAGTTCAGTTCGGTTACACAGTTTAGACAACTATGATCCAGGTACCGAAGTGCAGCGGATCCAGTTGTCGACTCAAGTCACCAGATTAACAATAGATGACGACGGCAAGAAAATGAACGCGAGTAGAATGCAACGAGAAGCGTATCGAGAAAGTACTACGTTAGACTAATCGGGGTTGAATGAAAATTAAGTTGGACACCTAGCAAGGTGCGTGAACCGATCCACCACTTCAAGTGATGTTCTGTGATAGATAAAACCGGTGACGCATCAGTAAAGACCTGAAACAATACCTTGCAATTTGAAGGTGTAAAGCACACCGAATCGTGCAGTGCTACGCACCAGTCTATGCAGCAGTGTTTGCATAGCCACTGCTTCAGAGTAAAGGAGAGCTATATCGTCCGAATACGCAAAATTTATCGGTCTGTGTCACCTGGTAGAACTTTCCCTGTGGAAGAGCTAATAGAGATGGAAAGGGATAGATAAACTCAAAACGCAAACATTATGTCAACAGGTGTTGCCAACCAGATGGCAACAAGGAGCCGGGAAACCCTAACCGAAGCAAGCTTCGAAGTGAGCGACTTCATCACTCTTGACCAAGACATCGCCTCCAGATCTCGAAAGCGTAAACTATGCACCTCAAAGCTGTCGGTGGTCCGACATGCGTAACAAATATTTCCGCCATCTGATCTTACTGCGTGAAGTGACGGTGCTGAGCGGTTTACTTACTTTTCTTGCGCCATAAACAAGGCGCCAATCACGCTAGATTCTCAGTGTCCTCATCAGGTATGAGCTAAATTGTACAGGCACCAGTGATCGAATGCAACTAGACTCTACATCTGACGATATGATGGATCATGTCTCACAAACGTACGGGAGGGCTGAGCGGATGGTTGCATTGTGGACCGCTTCAGACGCAAGGATGATGTCGCCCCGGTGCCAAAAGTGGCGAAGTTGAGCAAAATCAAATTGTTTTTGATATACGGTTTGTCGTTCCATCCTCGATTTCACAGACGATGATGTAGCTACCCAAGTAGTTAGATCTCTGAACGACTTCCAGTTAACACCAACTAAGGGTCAACGCAAAGGATTGCACCTAGCAATCGTATGTGAAAGTCTTGCAGTTGGAGAGTGTGGAACATAGCCAGAAACGATTAAGATTCAGTGGTAAGCTGTCCAGTGCTGCTTAGTACGTTTCTAGGCAGTATCGTCTGGAAAAAATCGGTCAGCTGGGAGCAGATCCACATCTTCTAAATCGTGTCTAATGAACGCAGTTTCCATAAGTTCACCCCAAACATTGAACCCATTAACGCCAGGCAGTCTCTAGCAAGCCCGATAGAAATCCCGCAAGTATAGGTAAACCGATTCCTACGGGTTTATTCTCCTAGTCAATGCAAACATCACCAACAGCAAAACGTCGGTAGTATGCAGTGACCGCTGCCATATAGCATAACGAGCTTAATGAGAAGGAATAGGAAAGGGAAAAGGAATACAATGTACAAAAACAAACAAGTGTTCTCAGCAAACATCAGGGCCAAGGTGTCTACAGCACGCAGACCACAAACAGATGGCTATCGTGGGAGCATCAGGTGACCATATGGGCAGCAAGTATCTAGCTCGATTTGAAGCGACTGGAGAACAAGCGGAGGGAATAGCTATCCGTGGAACTGGTAGGACCAAGGAAAGCAAATCAAATCAACTCACCAATCACTACCACAATGAGAGCAACGCCAACCATAGCAATGATGCCCCACATCTGCGAAGTTAAAAGAAAGAAGAGGTGATGTGGAAAAATGATGAGACAAATGTGTCCAAGAGATCAAAAAAAGAATACACTGTTCGATCAACAATAGCCGCAGTGGCAAATCGGTACATCGGACCGGTGATTCGCTGCACACAAGGTTGTGCGCGGGTTAGGATAGTGCCGGGAGATTGGAACCCGAAAAGATCAACATGAGTTAAGGAGAAAGGCGACCTTGAATGAGATGTGATAGCTGACCCGGTCTAGGAGATGAGAGGGAATGGTCGAAAGCTGATTGTGCGCCCCGAAACATCCAAAGACCGCTACTCAAGGGAAAATACAAAAGTTTCAAATGCGAAGCAAAGAAACTGGTGTATCGTCCTGACAGCGGGGGAAATAAACCGGGGTTAAAGAGGGGGCGATGCAAGCCAGTAGACCAAACGATGTCACTGAACCGACATTGCCCGACCGGTACTTCACTGTAATGGTTTTACACAGATCTCAAGGAATGCAACTAACAGCCGGAATCGGTGTGATTCGTGTAAAAATAATGCGAATGTACTAGCGGTGAGTCACGATGGAATCAGACGACTCAACGAAGAAATTACACGGGCGAGAGAACAAATGGCGACGATAAACCGGTGTAAGAATGACCGAAATGCACACATGTGGAGATGGCCTTAAGAGATATCTGGGTTTGGATGTTTTCATCCGTGGTGCACCGACACACGGTCATTATGTGATCTAACTGGTTATTTGACGGGACGTGATAAGCGGCAGTGATTACACAAGTTTAACGACATACAAGACTGGCTGGACCGATGAGGGGAGGACAAGCGATGACTCCGCCAAGAAGAATGAAGGCCTTCACTTCGAACTTGGCGTCGGTTGGTGTCTCTCGACTGCCGGGCTGAGGTTCTAAGGGCGATCAGCATGTCGGGTTGGATACATTTGTTGATTTGGCAAGGAGCCGATCCCAATTGCGTTTGCGTTGTTCGTTTCTTGGTCCCTCCTCATCCGACGTATTTTCCCCCTATAACCCGATCTGTCTTGAAGCATAGTAGGTTACGAAGCAGCATCTTACCTGCTTTTTGTAGTTTATAGTAGTAAGTATCTTACTTTTTATATCGTGGCACAAAAGTTGAGGTGCGTTTCTCATGTTCAGCTGATATGTAATGATGATGAGGACTAACTGGAAGCATTGACAAAACAGATATTGGTTCAATATTGGACATTTGTTCTTCATCCAGATGGAACCAGAAGCGGCAAAAAATTGATGTGTAATATCAAATAGAGTGAAAGGCCAAGGGCTTTCTAACTAGTTTAGTCAGCGTCTTAGTACGTTTGTCGGTTGATTGGCTCTCAGTACATTTTTTCAAATATCAAGACGATATTTACCACCCTACAGCGAGCGTACGCGTTGCACAATTGTGCAGCTGCAGAATATGTATGAATCCGGCTTGATACACGCAGATGAGATCGTTTTGTACTCAGGTGAAAACAAGGGTGAACCGGAGTTGGAGTGCAGAGATGCGAAGCTAGTGTCCGGAAGTATCTACAGGGAGAGCGCTTCACCTTGCTCCGAAGGGGAATGTCATGCGGGCGTGTGGATCGTACTATCAACGCTCGTCATACTACTTGGGTGTGCGAACGCATGCGCGTGCACTTACGAATTGAGGTCAAGCGCGGGACGCGAAGTGTTGTGCGTATTCGGCCAAGCAACAGTGTCGTGTGTGTGTAACAACGACGGTGCACTTTCGTACGCAGATGATGGCCTGACTTTTGTAAGACATGCGTGATCAATATGCCCCAACAACACACTGGTTATGTGGTGCGTCACATGCGAGTGTAAATGCATGATCTGCCTAATCGGCTGGGTAAGCGAGTTGCACATAACTAAAGCAAACACGCATTCTGGCAAACGATCAAATCGATCCACTGAATATACTCATCTGGGCGAGCAGTTGCTTGCAACTGTGGCGGGCTGTGAAATGGCATGCGGAGCTAGGTAAATTTCATGTTGCTGGACAGGACGTCTAGACACTGACCGGAAAGCGAATATCACATATCCCCCGGGTAAGTTGGCTTGATGCAAAGGCACCAGGTCCATGCAGTGCCCTGCAATGCGAATGAGCAGGACGAAAAACCGCTTCATGAAGTTCGTACGAACATCGCGTGACGCAGGGGTGAATGAGGTTGCCTAATGTATGAATCTTAGTAGATAGGTCAACAGTGTGCCCAGTAGTTCAGAGCATTGTGGAGAAAGAAGTAAAGGCAATACAGCTAATTCATCATTGCCACTCTCAATCAGCAGGCTGAAAAAGCACCAGACGCTGACGTTTCGACCTACTGGGTCTCACAAGTGGTATGCTTCCCAGCGGACCCCTGCTGGGTTCCGCCCCTATGACTTCTAGATGCCAGCAGCTAGTGCCACTTCGGCATTGGTGAAGGCCGCGTATCTGCGTGATTGACATTTGACTATGATATAGCTCAGACCATCTTCCACTGCCATGACAGTTACGAACTGTGCAGTGGACAATGACTAACCTTACGAGCTAGGACTCCGCATAGCGCCCCGGTACAGCACGAGGACTTGAAAGCTGCACGGAAAGATGTTTAATATACTACTGATGAGTACACTCGGTGGTTTAACGCGTACCGCTCCATGAGGTCAGCCAAATAACGAATGGTCTGGTGATATGGCACGGTCGAACCCCTTCCATGAGTAAACTGGGGGCAACAGTAGATAAAAATACGGCAGCACTGAAAGAGAGAAGAGACACAGGTCACTGTTGTAAGCACAAGAAGGAGTGTGCCCAATCATTGCTATTCCTCGTGGAACTTCCCAATCGAATAGGTGAAGGCCAGCGCATATAGGGGGGAAGTTAAACTTTCAACCTGTGCCGCGATAGAAGAGGACTTGAACAGGAAGATTATTAGACGAAATTGCATACAGCTTACATTGGTAAGATTCGTCATTTCTCCTGAGACCAGTTGGATTCGCAAGCCGTCTGCTTCTCGGAATTTTGCGTTCCGCACCAGTATGCACGGAAAGCTTGTCGAATCCGGATTTGCACTCATTCTTCATTACGCGGTTACCATAGCTAACGGTTGTCACGCTTCCATCTGACCTCTCCGATCTCAATGTGCCATGCAAATTAGGAAAGAGATACGATGATAGAGATCACGTGATAGTTTGCTGGACGCAGTTGACAGGAAGGCGGATTGAAACCATAAAGACATTTTGTACTCAACCGGTCTGATGGAGTTCCGAAGTCGAATCGTAGCATAAGCAAGAAGGCACGAAAACTACTACATTACGTCGAGGTCCACTTTCGTTGCCATGGCCTTTTTTAATTAATTCATTTACACGGAGTGACCACGACAAATTACGGTTCGATACGCTCCATAGAAGTGCAACGGTGCAGCCATTCCACATAAACGTGAAATCCATGTGGTTCAGCAAAGCTTCCGACAACGGTGGAGAAATGTGTGTCGCCTTGTTAGAAGGTATGCAAAGCCATAAAAAGGGGAATAGAACCACCAAGCGAGCTCGTCCAGAGTGGTCCGTAATTCGTCTAGGAATACGGATGACTGACATCCAGTAAAACCGAAGCTGACCACCTCTATATGCTGGCCATCACTCTAGGTTGATTGCCCTAGCAAATGGTTCGGTGGCAGTGTTCCAAAAGGTGGCAGACTTTCACCACATATGTCTAACAATGCGAGGTGATGGATGTGACTCGACAATAAATAAAGTCACTGCCGCTTTCTACACTATGGCGGAGCACTGTATTCCAGCAATGTGATGTTGGAATTGTGGGGAGGATTGGGCCTGTTTGGCAACCGACCGAAGGAAAAGCACATGAACTGTGCAATCAGTCACTGGCTCTCAAGTAGTGCAAATTCATGGATTCCAACAGGCTGTACAGCCAAAGGCCCGGGGTGGTGTCCTCTAAGTCAGCACCCTACTTCGACTTGGACAACCGTCTAGTATCCTGCCCTCTGACGAAATCATGGACTACTCTGTGTTGTGTTCGGTCTTCTTTTTATGATAACCGTAAGTTCCCTTAATTTTCATGGTTGCTGATGGTTCCCAAGTCTATTTGGTTGACTATTGTAGTTAAGAATACAAGACAACTCTACGCTAAGTTGTTTTCTAACATACCGAGCCCGTCTCAGTCGTTAACTGCTGAAGACTGCGGCTACTTATTCCATTCTATGCTGACATATCACTATCTTCAACCCTCGTAGCAATACAGCATCCACATTACGCAGAATGATCTACGCCCACAAAATGTTAGTGACAAATGAAATTGGCGAAGAGAAAGCTGATTGGGGTAGTCTCAAATGTACCGTAAAGAATGCCTTTGACGCATGCTATGCACCCAACCTGAGACGTCGTAACTGTAAATTGAGCTCCGAGGCACCGATCAGCTTGATCGAAGCACGGAAACAAGTTCCAATGGGCACTGAGTTTTAGAGTGTTCGTAAAGCCAGGAAACGACGTCTGACAAGGAATCTTCGAATTCACCTAGAATGTTGGTAGGTGGCAGGGGCGGCGAGATAGAGAAAGCCAGTGCTATTAAAAACAGCCGAGTGCTGTTCTAGCTCATCCGGAACACGAGTCTGCGAAAGCCATCAATTAGGGGGGCAACAGCCCAGAAAAAGGGGCAGTTGATCCATTCTCAGCCTCGTGGACTAGCTCGTTGAGCAGGAACGTGTTGAAGAGTTCAGCAGGTCTGCTGTGACACTGCCACTTGCCGATTCATCTGAGCCAACTTGGTTGGTTGATGTCACATATCCCACTTTGGAAGAGATTCGACATCAGCATTCCGTGTTGAAACGAAACAAGGCTTCTGGACCCCATAACCTACAACTTTGAAGAAAGATGGTGGTGACTCCTTGTTGACTAGGCTCGCTTCTCTATTTAACACGATTTGGAACACTGAAGTGATGCCATTAGACTGGCGACTGTCAACTGCCGTGCCCATTTTCAAGGAGGGTCAGCGTACTTTGTGCGAAAATCATCGGAGGATTGGCCTTGTTTCCGTTGTTTCCAAACTTCTCACGGGTATCATCCTCTGACGACTTACTGGTCCCCGTGAGAACCAAATCACCGAAAGTCAGGCTGGCTTCTGTCTAGGTCGTGGTTGTATCGATCCTTTATTTACTCTTCACCAAGTGTTAAAGCAAAGACACACATACAGAGGACAGATTATGATAGTTTTTCTTGACGTGAAAACGGCCTTTGACTCTGTTGATCGCGCTAGCTTGTAGCACTGTCTACCCATGAAGGGCATGCCGGCTAAGTTATTTTCCATTATACAGTGTCTCTGCCGTAACTCCCGAGACCGTGTAAGAGTCTACGAGAAACTGTCTCCTGAGTTACTCTCGACAAGTGGGGTTCGCCAGGATCGTCATATAGCTCCTTTCCTCTTCAACTTCGTGATAGAAATGATCATGAACGAGTCGGTTCCCTTAGACTGTACTGGAGTGAAGTTCTCTCAGGTGACCCACAGACTGGAGTTCGCTGACGACACAGCTCTTTTTGTGTCTGACGCAGTGGCTATGCAAACACTATTGGATGGACTGAACCGTAGTGCTGGACGCTTGGGCATGGGCTCTGCACCTTCAAATTGCAAAATACTGTTGCAGGACTAGACGGACACACATTTGGTTCTAGTTATCACACAACAGCCACTGGAAGTGGTGGATCGATTCACTTACCTTCGTAGTTGTGTCACCTCTGGTGGTCACATCACTGAGGAAGTTACTTCACGCATCAAAAAGGCCCGTGTGACTTTCCAGAGAGTCAACCATCTATGGAGACGGCGGGATATCAGCTTGTCAGTGAAAGGTAGGGTGTATAACGCTGTGGTAAGGTCGGTCTATCTGTATGGATCAGATACCTGGTCAGTTCGCGCCGAAAACATTAAACGCATGGCCGTGTTTAATCACCGGTGTTTGCGGAGCATTGCTCACATGGGTCGGAACACCGGGTGAGCAATGTTGAGACCCGTCAGTTGGTTTTGGGCAAAAAGCCTTCTGATACCTCACTCGAGTGTTTGCTAAATCTTAGTTGCTTACGTTGGCTTGGCCAAGTCTTCCGTATGCCCGTTGACCGGGTTCCTCGGCGTGCAATATACGCCATGGCTTCACGAAGTTGGGCGAAACCATGAAGTCGCCGGTTCATGATGTGGTATGCAGAGATTGACTGAGAGAGTTGGTCAGGCTGGTGCGCGCCATTTTCGTGGATGAGGGCCTCGTTATGGTCCGCACCAATGATTGGAGACCGTATCAGATATGGTGCAGTCACGAAGTCAGTGGAGTTCCTGCATTTGGCTACTTACATCTGGTGGTTAATTTTCGTTCAATTCTGATTAGTTTAACGCACATCTTCTTACTTCCATTTTTACATCCTATTTGCGTTAAACCCACTAGCTGCTCGTAGTTATTGTTGTTGGTGCAATGTGAGTCGTGGCAACTGGATCCACCGCACTTTGGTGCTCGGATCATACATGTTCAACTGAACTGAACTGAACTACATATTTGTCTTGTATTCTTAACTGCGACAGAGCTGTGTGAGCGAGGTCCGTCATATCATTCAGAGCAGACTTTATACTAGAGCAAACCAACAGAGATAGACCATACGTGCGTGTCGGGACCGAAGTGCCGTTTCACGAATGATCTCTGCAAAAGCCGTAGAAGCAACGGAAGCACTAGAGATAAATAAATATTTCGTTGTACTGATCCTAAGTACCGGTGTGGCGCTGAAGTTCCACAACAGTTTATTATCGTTATCAGTACATGTTAGCTAAGAGTGAGAAATACCTCAGCTACTGTGCCGTAATACCAAAGAGAACATATATGGAAAAACAGCGAGTACAAAACAAAAAAGTAAAATAATGTTTGGTATCATATTATGCTTCCAGTTTGAGATAGTGTTGGGGGAGGAGGAGGAAGAGAAGTGGGAGCGGGGAACAGAGAAAACACAATACAAACATCATTGAGGTCGGCTCTTTGCCATGCCATCGGCCGTGTGGTCTACACATCTGGTTTGCAATCCTAAGGCCACCGGTTCGAATCCGCGTGGGGACGGGCCTCCTCTCGGTACACTTAGCCCATGCGCGACTGCTGGTGGTCACGCGGCAGAGAAGTACCGTTTAGTCGTACAGCTGACACATTATTAGTATTATTATTATTGCCAGAAGAACCAAACGGGTTCATGGTCTTTCGGACACCAGCTAGACAGTCAGGAGACAACAATCGACACCAGTTACGAAGTGAGGTTCTTCATTCCTCTTGACCAAGTCATCACCTGGTTTACCCTTCTCCTCCCCACTGTGAACCCAGTCGCACAAACAACGCACGTCACGTAAGTCGGTGTGTTGGCATGCGCAATAAGTGGGCGAGCCATCGGAGCCTGGTGCGTGAGATAACAGTGCTGAGCGGTTCACTCACTCGCAATGTGGGATGCGCGGCGTGTGTGACTCGGTGTGAGTCTGAGTCAAGACATTAGCGCGTACCTTAAGGACGAGGTGAACTGATGCACCATGGATCGGAAATGATTTATCTATAGGGCGAAATGAGTTGAAGAACGGTAAGCAAATGTTTGGGGTAATGGTGGAGTGGATGGAGGTTGTTTGCGTTAACGAAGTTTCAAATGAACTTTGTAATGAGCTGGCAACCTCTCCCAGTTGCCTCATTGCCTTCCACACGCGTGTGGACATTCATATGAGCTAGATAACGCAACTCCTTCCTCCTTTATTCAAACAGGATCCTAGCATTCAAAGTTTTTTTTCTTTGAAACTACGCGCACTCGAATAAAAATTGTTCCCCAAAGACAGCTCGGATAAACGATCCGTTCGTCAAAACAGTATGATACTCCGTGAGGAAAATTAATCCGAGATCGACGAGGTGACGAATTCCCGTGATGGCTCTAAGTTTCGAGGGAGACGTTGTCTTCATTCGCACATATGACTATCGGCATCAGACCGTGTTAATGTCCATCAACATTTACCAGGTATATGGCAGGTCGATGTTGAAAGTCAGCAAACTAGACCCACTCTGGTCCATGTTGGTGGTAGCCTGAGAAGTGTGATTTGAAACCATGATAAAGCATTTGGGAAAACGAAAGAGTGCGATATGGAAGCAAATGTTGGTAGCTCAGGTTGTTCAGTTGGTGGTCTAAGTGTTCGCTGAGCTAGGCAGTTTGGCTGCAAACGTTTCGTCACCACCCGAGGTGACATCGCCAGTGCGCGTTTATGTAGTAGAGCGGCGCGGTACGAAGCGTCAGTGAGTGCGAGTGCCTTCGTATAATAAGTGAAGTGAGAAGAACTTACCTTCATGTTTTGCCAAAAGTACTTTCTCCTCACACGAGCGGAAACCGCTTCGAACTGCCGAGATTGCACCTGTAAATCATCTGGAATATGATAGACGGAGATATGGCCCGTTATGATAAACCAAGGACCACAAGATATAAGTGCACGGTGACGGAGTCAAGACATTACGTGACAAAAAGCACATGCGAGTGGTTCGCATAAGATGCGGAAAAGTTGGAGTCGCATAACGGATGGACTAACCGATCACGTGAGATTGCGATAACGAAAATATGATCCCACAACGATTAGGTAACTACGTTGGTTGAACGGTGACGTCCTAAGCATAAGCGTAATGAAGTGAAGAAAACACAGAGAAACCTACTACATGTAAAACAGGAGAAAAGTCGCCTTACACATACTCGAAACCCGAGGCATAGATGGTAGCCACGTCACACGAGCTGGTGGACAGCAGGAAACAGCTGTGGCGTTTTCGTTGTAATACATGGGGGACCCAAATTCATTCTATTTATATTCAACCAATAGTTGGTGAAATAACTACCAGAGATGGCATGCGGGATACGATCGGGACAAAGCAGTGGACAACGATAAGTCGAAGACGTATGGGGCACGATTCGAGTACTCCTCACGCCAAGCAATCAGCTGAATACGAGAAAGTTACACACGAACAGTAGGTAGATACTAAATGTCTTCAATGAACTATGTGAAGAAGAAATTGTGCATCGTCATGCACCATGGAATACGCAGCCGGCGAAACTCGGTTCATTGTGGAAGTGCTTGTGAGCTAGAAAGGAAGTGTGATGAATCCAGTCGTCGCTGTCACCCACTTCACTACGATGAGGGAATGGGTGGAAAGCACAATAGAAGAAAGTGAAAGGAGAGAAGCGAGGGTTAAGCTCAGAAGTTCAGCTATGATTAGGCCTGAAGAAGCGCGGTGAAGCGAATTGGTACAATCATGAAACTAACAGACAACGATGTGGAAAAAGACAAGAATGTAAAATAACAAACGAGAAACTAAAGAAAGAGCTGGAAATCAAAGGTAAACTCTTCCAACGGGAGTGCGAGAAGACTAAATACCGGCAATGCGACACGGGCGCCGGGTTGACCTTACTTCGGCCTCGATCTATGTTCTGATTGGCATGCTTCAAAGTACGGACATTTGTGCAGATTGGTCAACAGGCCGGCCTGTCACGTACCCTGGAGCCTCTCGTCATTTACGTTTGCCGCATATCCGAAGCCCGGTTGCAGGATCCCGGCAGTGTACTCAGGCTGACGTCGTCTTGTGATCGCAGAATCACATACCACGTGCGTCTATCCACTGACGCAGAAGCAGCTGCAGTAGGTTCGGCTGGCGTAGGAGTGGCACTAAGTAAGAAAGACGAAGCCGGTTTGCTTGACTGGCTTCCAGTTTAACAGCCGGCTATGCGCAGTTCGGCTTAAGCGATCATGTTGTGTCAACAAGCATCGCAAGGAAACATCCAACTTGTTTGTCATTTCTGCCTACGCCCCAGTTGACTGCAGCAGTGACTCTGTCAAGGACGATTGTTACTGTGAACTACACCTTCTTTTGAGTAAAGTGGGCACTTTGCATGTTGTCATAATTGCCGGCGATTACAATGCAAGGGTCGGTTGTCTGCTTCCACATGAACGGCACCTTGGACATTATCACGCGCATAACGATAGACGCTCAGATAACGGAGAGGGAATCCTCACATTGCGCGATGACAATCACCTGCTTTTCCCAAGCACCAATTTCAGGAATAATAAGAGACGTTCCCCAATCTGGAGCACTCCGTCGACAACACAGTTTTGGGTCACCGTTTTCCCCGAACTACGTCGTACCTGTTTTCGGGTACTTACCTTACGTCGTCCAACATTTTTCGCGGTCAGTCTTTGGCTACTTTCCTGGTACTTTTGTGTTTTGTCATCCGTTTTACACTATGCTCAAACATGTAACTGTTTCTGTTAACTGCCGGTTTTGATTATTGTTTCACACTGCTTTTGAAAACGTCATGTCGGATTCACTGAATGCCGGCGCTAATGTGTCGCTGGCTGTATTGGTCAGCGAATCAAATGCCGTGTGTGGCAGTATGAACTGCTCAAAGACGTAACGGATGAGTTTGGGGGCATGCAGTGCCAGGTAAACAACTGCTAGTACTATGAGTTCTGTACCGACTTGAGCTCTGACCAGTACGCAATGCTCTCGACTAGCGATAGTACTGCTGTTCAGTTGCCCCGGGCGTCGTGATGTGAAAAGAAAGCGTCGAGCAACGTCGAGCTGTGTAACCAAAATATGTGGTCTTACCTCGCTACTCCTGACGTAAAATAGTTAATTATGAAGAAACTGGAGTCTCTATAGATGTTAGCTTATTGGACGAAGACACAGCCAATCTCACCTGCTGTCTATGAGAATTCGACTCATCATCATCATCAACAGCAGTACATCAGCCATTTGAACTGATGCTGCGCTGCCATACAACCATGAGGACCTATGAAATAAAGAATAATAAGAGGGAGAGGGGGACTTACCTGAAAACCTTAATGCCCTAAGCAAACATTCAGGGTCAAGGCGCCTATACCTTGTGTAGACAACATACCGTCACAAACAGCTGGCTATCGTGCAAAGATAAGGCGGCATCGGCGAGACAGCTTCCTTGCGGCTTTCACTGCCACGCGTCATAATCAGCCATTACCCCGCAGACAACTCAGCACCAAACACACTTTAAACAGACAATCCGATTAGGAGACGGCAGCAGACGCGCCACTGGTGTCGGTTGCGAGCCATGTCCTGTAAAGTCTCGAGCCAAGCACAAGGTGCGTCACGTGGACTCCAACCCGGAAGGCGAGACGGACCAACGGCACCCAGTTTGGTCGTCAGTGACTTCATTTCCCGTTGCCAAGTCAACTTCTGTCCACCTCGAGCCTTGCGCCATCCTACACCTGGTAGACTGAACAAGGCCCTCCTAGGTAAGCGGTGACCAGGCATGCGTAGCACGTGCCCGAGCCAACGTAACTTATTCAGTGCTATCTGTTGTTCTAGGGAGATAGCATGATCATCACCACCTAGTACTCGCCTACGCACATCATCGTTGCGGACACGCTGGTGCCATCCGACACCAGCAATGCTTCGCAAACAACGATGATCAAAGACTTGAAGGCGCCTCAGATCTTCAGACCGAAGGGGCCAAGTTTCACTACCATAGAGCAGAACGGCCCTCACTGTGGCCTTGTATACACGGCCTTTCAGACGGAGGGAAACTCCCTTCTGTCGCCAAAGATGACGCAGGTTCAAGAAGGCAGCTCTGGCCTTTGCAATGCGTGAGCTCACGTCAGTTTCTATGCGCCCATCATTGCTGATGTAGCTGCCAAGATAAGTGAATTGATAAACCACCTCGAGTTCCTCGTTAGCAAGCGTCAAGGGGTCATCGAGTGGCTGGTGGTCCTGCAGCAACACTTTGCACTTTGAAGGTGCGAAGTGCATACCAAATAATGGGACCACTCTGGATAGGCTATTCAGGGTTGATTGTGCCGCCTCAACATTGTCGAAAAGCAAGACGATATCGTCCGCATAATCTAGATCAACTAACCGTTCACCAGGCAGCACTTCAACATCTACATCGTGAGATTCCCCAAGGGAACACTCCATGATAGCATCCACGACGAAATTGAACAAAAACGGGGAAATCGGGCAACCCTGTCGACTGAGGTGACGGCTACCGTGTAGTGTGCCCCAGCTACCCAGAATTCCCCTAAGGAGGCCTCTAATGTCGTACTGGATGCTGTCCAAATCGAGACCGATCTTATAGTCCCTGTGCCCACTAAAAGCAAGAGGAAAAAAGCTAAGAAAGTCCGTAATGCCTCCGCAAAGTTCAAAAGGACTGAACCTATGAGAGTTGGAGGTAGAGCACAAAGCTCCAATCTCAATTACTCCAGCTCATTTGGTGAAGAAACAAGCCGTGTCACTTGCCTAAACGATAGAACCTGGGGTCGAGTCGAAGACTCGTGGAGTGAATACGCCTCGTCGATATGATTATGTCACTAGTAGTAGCGTTCTCTTCCGGAACGTTACAGAGTCCCCGGCATGCTGGATGACCTCCAGTGGTTCTAGCTTTGCGTCACCAAGATGCTTCCACCCGGTTTCCCTGGTGTCATTATCAGGAAGCTAACCAGACTAGGGAACGCCACTGTCGATACGCCAAATCCGCAAGCCAGACTACTTCGTGTAGTCCTCTCAACGTCGGAGGAACGCAAAGCCTTAATGCGCTTTGCCTTCAAAGTCAAGGGTAGCAATGCCAGCGTTCAGCCAAATATCCCACTGGCAGATGGATTGAAATTGAAGGAAGCCATCAAAAACCTCAGGAACAAGCAGGTGGCTAATAAGCAAGGCCTTCGTCATGTGGGTTTCCAGGTGGTTAGCCGGAGGTTGATTTCTGCGCTTCCAGTACCTCCTGGTAGCGCACAGACCCAGGGCTGGTCGCACCGAGTTCCTTCGGGTAGTACTTAGCAGTGCGTAGCCTAAGCAATAAGGTACACGAGATGGGTCTACTGGTAGACAAATCTCATCCGGACATACTCGCTTTCACTGAAACGTGGTTGTACCCGGATAGTACGGACAGTGAAGTGTGTTTACCAGACTACGCGCTGCTTAGATGTGATCGCTCCGTCGGCCGCCAAGATGGGGGTATCGGGCTTTATGTGATATGTAAACTGAATGTGTTGAGAACCTGTCTTCCAGTCGCCGGAGCAAACTGTTGAACCTCTGTCGACTATTACGTGCACTTCCTCTAACCAGTTTACAGTTGTAGTGGTAGATCGAAGTCATGGAAGTGTATCCAAGGTGGTTATTGAGTTTATTCGCATTCAGGCTAAAAATATGTGTCTAATACTGGGGATTACAATTTCCTGAGGTCCGTTAAGTTGATCCACACTACAGTTTGGCAATGGGTACATTCGGTTCGGATCTTCTCGAGCTAACGTTGCAAATGCATTTGCATCAATTCGTGGACCTGCCGACTAGATACATGATCACCCAGTTTCCGTCTATCTTGGATCTCATTTTGTGAAGTCACATGATTCGTAAGTGATATTACATACGGCTGTCTTCTAGGATTCAGTGACCATTTCTGCATATCCTTTCGATGTGCTCGCTCCAAGTATTATCAGGCCACCGCTGAGGTATGCCCAAGTGTTTTGCGGGCAGAATTTAAAGTAATGCCAAACAAAGCGTCAGAACTGCGTTGTACGATCTCCGTGGCTGACACTGTTGATTCAGCCTGGGAGAAATTCAAGGCATACCTCACCGAGATCTATGCTGCACACATCACACTTATCAAGAAAAATGGGAGACACCGGCACAGCCTGCATGAACAGATTGTACAGGTAAATACTTGCTCAGGATGTGCTTTAAGTGCTGGCGAACTTACCAAGCGGCTTCATAAACCAGCACTTACGAAAGTTATCGAGCGGTTAGACATAAATCCAAGTAACACCTTAGAATTGTTTGTCTTCAGTATCAAAAGAATTTAGCTGACGCAACCGCAAATGCAAAGAATTTCCTTACTTACGTAAAGTGGTGCAGCGGTACAAATTCGTCAATACCAGTTACTACGAGCGTACGGGACCCGTGGGCATACAGACTATGATAAGGCTTGTATACTTAGCGAACAGTATACTGGTGTCTGCTAGTGAGATCTCTCTACCTCAGGTTGATCTGGTCACAACAGTTCCGGAGGATTTTTGCCTAACTGAAATCAGCATAAAGGAGATACAAGTCTTCGGGCTGTTGTAAGGGCTGAATGCTTCCAAAGCTTCTGGCCCAGATTCAATTCATCCAAAGCTGATGCATGAATTGGCAGCTGAACTAAGTGACCCTCTCACATGCGTGTTTACAATATCGCTCGACAGCTGTGACTTACCTTCGGAATAGAAGGAGGCAATCATCTGTCCGATTCTTAAGGGCAGTGACAGTGCCCTGCTCCCGAACTACCGGCATGTCAGCTTGACAAGCATAATAGTTAAGTTGCTTGAAAAACTGGTGAGCGATTCGGCGGAGCCACCTGAATAAATTTAACCTGCTCAGTGCTGCTCAACACGGTTTCCGTAAGGGATTTTCGTGTCTGACAAATTTATTTGTAGCTCGTGAAAGCTGGGATAAAGTAGTGAACAGCGGTCACACCACTGACGTGCTTTCGTTGACTTATTGAAAGCCTTTGATACTGTCCCACATCTACGACTCTCACTAAAATTGAGATCGTGTGGGATATCTGGGGGCGCCCTTAAATGGGTGTCTGCTTTTCTGGAGAAGAGAGAATAATGTGTACGCGTGGGGTGTAGACTCGTTTAGACAAACTGTTCTTAGTGGCGTTCCGCAGAACTCGGTTTCAGAGACGTTGTTATTCACAAGTTGTCAATGACCAGGAGCTTGAAGCACCGTCGCCATTGTTTGCTGATGACCTCAAGCCCTAGAATATTGTGGATATCCCTGGGGGCTTTGTAGTAATTCAGAGTGCTTTGGATAGGCTCTGGAATTACTCAACCTTATGGTTAATGCCTGTAAATCCGGCGAAATGTTCTGTACTACGCATTGGAGCTGCTAGTCCCCTCACGGGCTGTTAATAGTGGAAGTGAAATGTCTGCTGTCACACAACAGTGCTTCACTCTGGGGACAACTGGTGGAAAGCTGCTTATAGAGGGTCCCGTATGATGTGGTTTATTCGCCGCTCCTTCGGTATCCTAACGACCGATATTGTTATGAAGCTTTACTCAGCTTTTGTGCGACTCCACATACAATACTGTATTCAGACTTGTCCACCATGCCTTGTAAGGGACAAAAGGGAACTGGAGAGGGTTTTGCGAGTGAGTACAAGGTTATTGCAGATTTGCGAAGGCCTGTAGCGCAAAGGTAACAAGCTTGTCTTGTAATCTGACGGTGCGGGTTCAAGCCTGCGTAGAGGCAGAGCGACCTTTGCAGTATCCTTAGCCCGCGTGCGACCGGTGGTGGTTGCGCGGCAGCGAAGTGTCGGTACTGCGTAGCGACGTACTGCTGATGCCTTTATCTACGAGGACAAAGGTATTCCGAACGTTTGCTTAGCTCGGGGATGTACTCAATACACTACCGGAGAATTAGAGAATACTGGATCCTCACTTACCGTATCCTAACGGTTAAAATCGGTCCAGCTTTGTCCTAGCTTTTTAGTCCCGTCAAACTGCCTAGTTTCCGAAATCACCCATTGAAGCTGCACAAACTGCGTTCTGACCGTGTCGCTCTGGGTTACTGGACGTTGGAAGTCGCTTCCGGAGCGTCGTTAGGGAATCTACGGTTGAGGGTTTCGAAAGTCAGTTAGGTATTCATGGGTGGCAGCACCTAACGTTCCCCTTCTCCTAACCGACTTGTATCTACAGCTTTTGTACTTTTTTTCTAGTTCTTCTCATACTTTGATATTAACATTATGTAGCTGACATTCCTCCTGTTTTCATAGCTTACCATTTACTGTTTTTTACTTCACATAAACCGGCCTGGCAGGCATCGCTGGGCAGGAAATGTGGGCACTCATTGATTGGCCAGGGCGTGACGCGATCTTTGTTTTAGACTTTTAAACATCTCAAGCCGAGCAAACAATATCCGGTTCAACCATACGCAAAGGAAGGAACATTCACGAGATTATCCTATCGTTCGGGTCCCAACTGAACTTGAAAAGGTCAGAACATGTGAGCGCCTAATTGACAACCTAACCGTCGTACGGATTAAAAAAAACGAGAAAATGGGAAGAAACAGAGGTTATACCTCTTACCTGCTCGACTGTCAATTTCTGTCAACTTTGCCTCACGCTCCAGCACTCGATTGACATTGTCCCTCATAATGCCAACCACCTGGTTGTGTAAAAATATCTAAAGAAGCGAACAAACCTCTTGCACTTTGGAGTGCTGTTGTCTGATAGCTTCATCTGTATATGGTGCGCCGGTTCTGATGAGGTAAACGTGAGACGAAGCAAGAAAACAACCTGCTGCCCGAACCCGCCATTGGGATCCAATATAAAGGGGGACAACGGTGTGGTATGCGTCCAGTCGAGGCTTCCGAGAGCTTCTGGTTCCAAGGTGTACGTGGGTCGTATTAGACCGAGAGGGGCTGAAAGGCAAAAGGGGTACTTCGTAGGCGGCTGGACAGTTACTTGAAAACCACCTAATAAGTGTCGGAGCTGGATGGAGGGTGTGCATGTGTTACACCTCGTGGCTAGCTGGACGGTACTGTCACAGCTGCCATTAGAGGACCGAATCACGTCACGGTCGATCAATCAATGCCCACGCCGCCTGCATTAGCAGTCCCCACTGTACCGGCCAAGTGAATAAGAAGAAAGGCTAAGTGATGTAACAAAAACAGAATAATTATAATTGTAGTGCAAAAAATGTAATAATGTGTCAGATGTACGCTGTAACGACGCTTCGCTGAGGGGGACCACCAGTCGCGCGCTGGCTGTATACCGCGAGGACGCCCAACCCTACGCGGATTCGAAACGGTGACCTTATGATTGCAAGCCAAGCGTGCAGACGACACGGCTACCGGCCGACTGTAGTACAATAGGGTTGTGTAGATAAGGCAATGATAGTAATACGTGTGAGAAGTCAAGGAAATGGAAGTTAAGAACTAAATGGAAAGACCTGAAACTGCAACCCAAGGGCGTCAAGTCGATGTTCAAACTCCTTCACCGTTGGTGCTAATACGACTTCGCTGGGTAGTGTGCTCCATGAGTCGACGACCCTGCACGATAAACAAAAATCAGCTCTAACGCGACTGGATCAGGGCTTATGCAGCTTAAGAGGGTGACCAGAAAAAGATGCATCTGAGTGGAGTGGAACCGTCTAGTTAGATTAGGCTCAATCTTGCCCGTCAGCATACGGGTAGCTCCGAAGGTGCCTATAGTGCAGCAAAATCATCTGCAACCTGTGTAGCATATCAGGACACGAGAGCTGCCTCCATCCTTGTACCACTTTCGTGTCAATCCTCAGACTGCCATCTTGTCGCGGACCAAGCATGGAGGACAGGCCTGTATGCAGAACTCCAAGTATGGCCTGACAGTAGTTGAGAACAATGTAACAAACATTTCATTTGTTATGATGCCGAACGACCTGCGGATCATCCAAAACATTCGAAAACCCTTGTGGGTAGCAGTCGTCCAGTTCTCGCTGGATTTGAAATCAGAGGAGAGAGAGATATCCAAGTCGATTTGTTCAGTCACTTGAGGCCCTACATTTTCGCCAAGTATGTAACGAGTTGTGGGAGTGCTTGATCCTATGAGCAAGATCGAACACTTGGCAAGATTTATTGGTAGCTTCCAAAAATCTAACCACTCTCAAGGCTTGTCAAGAGCTGTCTACAAAGCCACGGATCTATAGGAATCCTTCATTGGATTACAAGATTTTAAGTCATTCGCAAAGCTTCTCAGGGAGGTCGTTAACATACTATGCAAACAGTAGAGATCAGAGAACCGACCTCTAAAGAACGCCACACAAAACGGTTTATCTAAAAAACAACCCGAAAGCCACTCGCACGCTCACATGCTACCTTCCAGGAAAGTCGAAACCAATTTCAATACTTGGCCAGAAAGGCCGTAGAATTTCAGTTTGAACGAAAGACAATGCGTGACGGTGTCAAAGGTTTTAGAAAAGACAATGAACAAAAGGTCTACCGCCTGTACTAGATCCACGGCCACAGCCCAGCACTCTCGAGCTACCAACATGTTAGTCAAATAAGAGAGGCCTCTGCGGAACCCATGTTGAGACGGGTTGAGCAAACTGAATTTAGCCGTATTTTTCGAGAGCACCACCATCATCATCATTACGCACGTTAGCTGCTGTGCCAGAATACATATAAAAAAGAAAATGAATACAACAGATGCATACCAGCAAAGCTATAAGTAATAAATGGGCATCGTTCCGGTAAGCTACCAGCCGGCTCCTATGCGACAAGAAATTTTATTACGCAAAATTATATTAAGTAAGATCATGGTTGGAGAGTGAGGCTAGGAGGGATGGGGTGGGACAAAGAAACTCACAGCAGGAATGCCACTAAGGTCGGCTCCTAGCCATAACAACAAGTGTATCCAGCCAAACGTGTTCATCGCCTTTCGGACGCCAAGCAGGGAGCCGAGACACTCCAACCGAGGCCAGCTTCGAAGTGAGAGCCTTCATTCATCTCGATCAAGTCATGGCTTAGCCACCTCTCCTCTTCTTCCATCCACACTCCCGGCGAGCAAACAACGCACGTTCAGAAGCCGGTGGGTTGGCATGCGTAACACGTGACCGAGCCATCGAAGCCTGGTGCGTGCAATAACGGTCCTGAGCGGTTCATTTCCTTTCCGTGTGGCGTAAACAAGGCGTCGAACACGCTCGTGGTTCAATCGCTGTTCCCACTGGACATGAGCGAAACTGCGAATACACTCGTGGTCGAAAGTAACTAGCCTCTTTATGTTGGCTGATCTAAGGGGCCAGGTTTCACAAGTGTACAGTAAGGTCGGACGTACCGAGGCATTGTACACTCTACCATTCAGGGCGAGAGTGATGTCGCGTCACCGCCATAACTAGCGAAGTTTAGCAAAAGCGACTCAAGCTCTTGCTATAAGGTTCGTGATTTTATTTTCAATCCCAAATTTCCAGGCACTTGAATTTTTGAGCGACTTCTAGTTGATCTCTACCAAAGGTCAGCGCAGAGGGCGGTCCAGGCCAATCATGGGGCAAAGATTTGCGCTTCGAGAGTGCGAAGCAAATCCCGAAGTGACGGACAGCCAATGCTAATCTGTCCAGTGCCGCTTGGCACGCTTGTAAGCTATCACATATGAGAGCAATCTTGTCACCATACTCCAAGTCAAGAAGTCGTTCTCCTGAGAACAGCTTCACACCTAAGTTGCGTCCTGTGAACGCAATTTCTATGACTTCGTCAATGGCGAAGTGGAAGAGGTAAGGTGATAGCAGACATCTTTATCTCATACCGCTGGAGATATTGAAGAACGGCGACAGCTTGCCGTAAGCCCTCACTCTGCCTGAGTTACGCGCGTATAATGCTCGAATAATATTTACATATTTCTCGGGCACACCTTTCCTAAGTAGACGGTCACAAAGGGCACATCTATTCATCGAATTGAATGCACCTTTGATACCGAGGAACATGACAACGGTGGGCCGCCAATATGTGACGGTGCTTCAACATCTGACGCAAAGTGAAGCTGTGGTCGATGCAGCCACGAACCCGACGAAACCCGGCTTGCTCTTCATGAATCTGGCTTTCAGGAGTGCCAGTCAGTCTGTGCAGGATGACAGAGGTAAGTAATTTTGAGGCGATGGAGATCAGACTGATTCCTCTATGGTTACCGCATACCGATCGTGAGCCTCCCCATGACGGAGCGGCTCCAGTCGGTTGTAACAGTTTCCTGTTCCCACAGTTTCCCTAGTAACTCGTGTAAATCATCAACAAGAGCACAGCCCAAATTTGAAGAGGGCTGGATGAAGATCATCTGGTCCCGCGGCTTTATATAACTTCAGTAGTGCAATCTCACATTGGACTTCTGAACGAGAGGGCGGATCCAAAGGGACATCTCAGGGAGCAGGGCTATCAGTGGCCGGCGAAAAACCTGACAATTCTGACCGATTAAATTGACTTTCAAAATGCTCAGCCCAACGCTCCAAACACTTTGACAAATTGTGGATAGGCTGTCCACTCTCGTCACAAATTGTTTCACTAACCCCAGGTCTCCTGCTGCCCGTTTCCCGTATCAGACAGAATAGCTTTCGATGGTTACCAAGGGCAGCGGCCATTTCCAT